ATACTGCCTGCCTGGCCAATCAGCATTTTATTAAAATATGATTGACAAAATACAGACAATTCTCCCACACCACTACCCCATTCTTCCATTTTCTCCTCCCCCTTCCCCTCCACCACTCTCCCTCTCCTTCAGCTCTCCCTTCTTCCCCCCCCCCCCAGGCTCCCAATTTTCTTAAAATATTTAGCTCAGTGGTAGAGCACTTGCCTAGCAAGTGCAAGGCCCTGGGTTCAGTCCTCAGCTCTGGGGTTGGCAGAGAGGCGGGGGAGACAAAATATCAAAAAAGACAAAAAAAAAAACCCAAGAAAACCGAGGTAACTGGCACACACAGTTTTATTTTTAAACTTCATTTCACATTCCAATCACAGTTCACTGTCCCACCCTCCTCTTGCTCCTCCCTTCACCTACCCCCCACCCCAAGCCTATTCCCCATTCACTCCTCCCAAGGGGTAAATAAGGTCTCCCATGGGGAGTCAACAAAGTCTGGTGTATAACTTGAAGGCAGGACCAAGCCCTTCCCTCCAGTATCTAGGTTGAACACAGCAGCCCACCACAGGCAATGGGCTCCAACAAGTTCTAGTTCATGTACCAGGGATAGATCCTGGTCCCACTGTACTCACTCATAAGTGAAATACTAGATGTTAAGCAAAGGATGACCAGGTTACAATCCACAGCTCCAGAGAAGCTAGGTAACAAGTAGGATCCTAAGAGGGATGCATGAATTGGCCTGGGAAGGGGAATTAGATGAACTCATGACTTTAATTTTCAAATAGATGGGAGGGATTTTTTTTAGATTACTGCAATTGATGGGGACTACTATTAATACCAGGGAGCTATATGTTTCCAAATCACTAAGGAACCATTTCAAATGTTCATATCAGAAAACACCACTATTTTAGGTGTCAGATAAGTCGGTTCTTTTGATTTCATCATTCCATATTACATACAAATAATATGCATATACAACTTCTCAATGTACAAGAAAATAGGGTGCTAAATGCTGGTAGCACATGCCTTGAATCTCAACACTAAGGAGGCAGAAACAGGCAGATCTCTGTGAGTTTGAGGCCAGTCTGGTCTACAGAACAAATTCCAGGACAGCCAGGTCTACACAGAGAAACTCTGTCTCAGAAAAAAAAATAAACAAATAAACAATCCCCCCAGAAGAAATAAAAGGATAATATACACCAGTTGGTGGTGTGGTGTGGGACAATTCTGTATTCTGTCAATTATGTTTTAAATAAATGCTGATTGGCCAGTAGCCAGGCAGGAAGTATAGGCGGGACAACCAGACAGGAAATAGAGGCAGGACAATGAGAACAGGAGAATTCTAGGAAGAAGGAAGATCTTTCCCCAGTACTGTCCAGACATGGCAGAAGCAATATGTGATCTGCCCTGCTGAAAAAGATACTGAGCCATGTGGCTAACATATACTATAATAATGAGCTAACAATATAAGTTATAAGAGCTAATATGAAGCCTGAGCTAATGGGCCAATCAGTTTATAAATTATGGAGACCTCTGTGTGATTTTCTTTGGGGCTAAATAGCTGTGGAACCTGGTGGGAGGACAGAAACCCCCAACAAGCAGGCCCTCATGTTACAGTGGGCCTTTAATCCCAGTACTTAGGAGGCAGAGATAGACGGACTTCTGTGAGTTCAAGGCCAGCCTGGTCTACAGAGAGTGAGTCCCAGAGCAGGATCCAAAGCTACAGAGAAACCTTGCCTGAAAAATAAAAGAAAGAAAATAGTGTAAATAAAATATCAAGAGTTTATATGCATTGTGAAACAAGATGTATTTGCCTTCGTCTCTAATTTACTATCATTCATATCTATCCTTCCAAAGAGAAGTCCTGTGTAAGGGGAGCTAGGAATGAAAACTTCTGAAGGAAATGTCATGCTGGGAGCACAAATAAATCACAGCTAATAGCCCCTTTCCCCTGGCACCAGGAACAATGTTAATTTCCTAGTCCTGAGCAGTAAATTCACAGCTTATTACACAAGTGCCTATTTTCTTGAACTTTGTTTTCACTTTTTTTTTCTCTTTTAACACCAGTAAGGAAAATGGGGAGACAAACTGACAATTTCTGGTTCCCCAAATTCTGCCAAAACTATAGATAGGTCGATTAAGATTCACGGGAGCTGGAGAAATGGCTCAGCATTTAAAAAGCACTTGCTGCTCTCCCAAAGGACTTGAGTTTAGGTCCCAGCACCCATATCAGGTGACTCACAATCACCTGCAACTTCAGTTCCAAGGGATCCAAGACCCTCTTTTTGGTCTCTGTAGGCATCTGCATACATGTTACATACAGACAGCCACAAACACCTATGCATATAATTTTAAAAATAATAAAAATGCAATCTTTTAAAACTCATGTTCATATATGTTCACACTGTGGTTTTACCAATTTATTTATATTCACGTGGAAGACCATTCTCACCTAGGCCCGGTCTTATGGCTGTGAGCTCCTATAACACTTTCAGATTCCCCCATTTCAGTTCTGTATTAGGCATCAGGAGAATAGTAGTTGCATCTCCAGGGAATTTATTTCAGATTTACATTTGGTTGCCCAGTCCCCAACTCTCTTTGCTAAGCACTCCTTTCGTTGGTTTAGAGGCACAGAGAAATCTGAGAAACACAAACTATGACTGCCAACACTTGACAGTTGTTTCTCTGATAAACAAAGCAGCTGATAGGATTATTCAAGATAATTTAAAATGCTGGCTGGGGGGAAATGTGAATTTCAAATGCTCATGAGAGTTAAGCCCATCCCTGTGTTCCTGTATTACTGACCTAACTAGAGATTACAGGCTCTATGTGGAGTGGGAAACCCTATCTACCATCAAGTAAGATTCTTTTCCAGGTATCCCGCTACTGAATGGGCAAATAGTCTGACCAGGATTAAGCTGTTTGGGGACAAGAGTTACACCCTGTCAGTCCAAGTTGGTGCACAGAAACATAAATTAATCAGAAACATGCCTGAAAGGAAGTTTTACTGTATTTTATTTTCAAAGTATGTTTATGCACCAAAATTTTAACACCGAAGTTCCTGTCCCAGACTCCTACAGGGCAGTCTTGTGATTCCAGATGTGTTTTCCTAACACAATATGGATCAGCCTCCAAACCATTAATCTTATAATAAGTGTCCATGTTGCAAAACAGATGCCAACTGGCAGGCTGCACAGGGCAAAAATAAAGGGTCACTCCTTTTGCTCATCCAGAGCTTCAAAGGCAGTACTCACAAAAGCAACCAATCTGGCACTGTGTACTTTTAAAAAAGAATCGACTTGCCTACCAGCAGCAAAACTCATTCTGTCCAGACACAACACAGATACGCGTATTCTGGCCAGCAACATCTTACTGATCTTACCTTCCCTTAATCTGTCCACTGCTGCCCTCCCTCAGATCCTGCCAGTTGCTCACCAATAATAACTGGAGGATGCTCCACTCTTACCAACACACTAGAAACAGCAATATGCTTCCTCATGAGACTTCATCACTGGTTTGACCCCATGGAGTCCCTAAGCAGCAGAGACATTTTATAATCTTAATTCCTGGTATAGGATCCCCATTGTCCCACTATTCCAAATTAAGGCACTTCTGCACAGCAAAGAAAACAAAAGTACAGAGACAACACTCAAATTGTAAGACAACTGAAAGGTAACTATTAGGAGGTTTGGTATCAATCAGTACCTATAAGGAATTCAACTCTATATACAGCAGGAGAAAAAACTCAATTTAAAAAACACTAAAAACCTAATAGACTTCTAACAGACTTTAGCACAACTGACACCATGTTAGAGATACCATTCTGACCTTAAAACCCAGTAAGTAGGCCCCAATACCTGTCAAAATGGGTACAAGGATCTAGTCCACCAAAAACCTAATCTGTAGTTCCAAGAAAACCCCCTGAAAACCTTGCTTTCTGGCTTCTGTAATTCTGCTTCTTGCTATCTGAAGTTTGATGACCAGGATGTGGTTTTTGTGCATAAAATACAGAAGGCCATAAGGCTCGGGGCTGTATGATTTGACCAAGTTCCTTGTGCAGCTGCCAGCTGGCAACAAACACCTTCTTTTGGTGGTGGCACATATCTTTAATCTCAGCACCTGGGAGACAGAAGCAGGCGGGATTTCTGAGTTTGAGGCCAGCCTGGTCTACAGAGTGAGTTCCATAACAGCCAGAATTATTACATTAAAAAACCCTGTCTTGAAAAAAACAAACAAACAAACAAAAAAACCCAGGTGGTGGTGGTAGCACACACCTTTAACCCCAGCACTCAGGAGGCAGAGGCAGGTGGATCTCTGTGAGTTCGAGGCCAGTCTGGTCTACAAGAGCTAGTTCCAGGACAGGCTACAAAGCTACAGAGAAACCCTGTCTCAAACCGCCCCTCCCCCCCAAAAAAGAGCTGGTTCCAGGACAGGCTTTAAAACTACAGTAAAACTCTGTCTCGAAAAAAACCAAACAAAACAAAAACAAAAAAAAAAAAAAAGTGTCTGTCTCTGGTGAGCTTACCTTGCATGATGTAGAAGGAACGGCAGGCTGCATCCTGCTGCCCAGCTAGCTTAACCCCTGAAATAAGCACACAGAAATTGTATTAATTAAATTACTGCCTGGTCCATTATATCTAGCCTCTTATTGGCTAACTCTCACATCTTGATTAACCCATTTCTATTAAATCTGTGTATCACCACGTGACTGTGACTTATCGGCAAAATTCTAACCTACATCCATCTCAGGCTGCAGATTCATGGCGTCTGCCACATTTCCCTTCTTCCCAGCATTCTGTTCTGTCTACTCCACCCACTGAAGGGCTGGCTGCCCTATCTAAAGGCCAAGGCAGTTTTCTTTATTCAACCAATGAAAGCAACACACAAACAGAAGAACCTCCTACACCATTTGCAAGTATTGGTGCTAATTATAAACAGTTGGTTTCTTTGTTTTTTCCAGACAAGGTCTCCTTATATAGGTCAGGGTTGCCTTTAAATTGTAATTTTCCTTCCTCTGCTTCCCAAGTGCTGAAATTACAGGCATACTAGACTAGGCTCTACTAATGATAAGCTGTTTCTATTATGCTAGGGAGATAACTCACTCAGTAAAGTGCTTGCCATGCAGGCATGAGTCTAGGGTAAAAGGGATAACTGGAGCAAGAGACCAACCAATTACTGAGCACCCTGACTCTGAACCCAGAACCAGGGAAAGAAACACACCCTGGATCTAAGACCTGAGCCAGGAAAACAACATCTTTATCCCTGAACTCAGGACCAAAGAAACAGGTCCTGAGTCTGAAACCAGTGCCAAAGAAACACACTTTGTCCCTGGAACCAGAATCAGTGAAAAAAATATGTCCTGGCTCTAAGATTAGAGCCTAAAGGCCGAAAAAGACCAGTGAAGGAAACACAGTTTGGTCCTGAGATCACAGCCACCTCTGCTCCTGACCAACTACACTAACCAATCCCTGAGCTGGGAAAACTGACCAATCCCCCTTCATCTTGGGAAAACTCCGCCCCTAAGGAGCCCTATATAAGCCTCTGCAGCTTCAGTTAAAAGGAGCCACTCTCCTGGACTCCTCCTTCCCAAATAAATCTCTTTCTCAAAAGAGTGTTGGGTGAAGACCTTCATTTGCCGGTGCAGAGAGGAAGATCCTGGCTGGGACGTCCCTTGGGGACCGAGCTGAAAAACCTTGCTGTGACGCTCCTTAGAGGGCTGAGCGAGGCGGTGGAGCACAAGAGAAGAACCTTGCTAGGATGCTCCTTAGGGGGCTGAGCGAGGGGGCGGAGCACAACAGAAGAATCTTGCTAGGACGCTCCTTAAGGGGCTGAGCAAGGGAGCTGAGCACAACAGAAGAACCTTGCTAGGATGCTCCTTAGGGGGCTGAGCGAGGCGGCGGAGCAGAGCAGAAGATCCTTGCTGAGACGCCCCTTAGGGGGCTGAGCGAGGCGGCGGAGCAGAGCAG